TAATGGTATAACTCAAAACATGTCATTGTTGGAAATATGCAATTAATGATTTTGAGAATTTTCAATTATTTCTGACAAATTGGTTCTTTGTGATGATTTATTATTTTTTTTTTTTTAGTTATCATTTTTTATTGTAGATTATTCTTATAGAGGTTTGATTAATTCCTGAATTTCCTAAACACGTGCAAACTAAGTTATGCTGGTTTTATTCTACATTGTATTACATTCCATTTTGAGTTGTGCCTTTTTATACTAGGAAAACCTTGAATTGTGCCATTATATCACTAATCTCCCCTAAATATTCATAGTTGTGCCGTTTGATATTCCTCATTTACGACCAACAATTATTTTAGGTTTTTTAATTGTGTAATAATATAATATTAATTTTGTAGCAGCATTTTAAAATAACATTCGAGAGTGGACAATGAGGTATAAAAAATTAAAAAGGCTATATTTTAACTCAATATAGAATTTATTTATAATAATAAATAATATAAAAAACAAAATATAAAGATTCATCATAGTCTACCTTGACTTAGTTATTAATTAAAAATATTATTATTTATAATAATAAATAATATAAAAAACGAAATATTATAAAGATTCATCAGTCTTCTTTGACTTAGTTAAAAATTATAAATAATAATCTTTTTAATTTTTTATCTTTTAAATAATTATAAATATAAAAACATAATAATATTATACTTAATTTTAATCAGTCTACTTTGACTAAATTTCAAAAAATTAACTTAGGTATCACAATCTACTTTGACTCACAAATTTCTATAAAATGATTGGAATGACGGAGGAATGTGGTTTTTTGAGCATAGTTTCATGAGATCTTCTTTTTTCTTTGGTGCGATGCCACAAGGATTCAAATATGCCTTATCCACGACCATTAAGTCTTGGCTGACTCGAGTTTTCCTCTTCCTTGCGAAGTTAATTGTCTTAAAAGTATCTTCTTTGTAGGATGTTTTGTATTTAAATGTGTCTGTTTGACCACGAGACAATTTTAAGACCTTGATATCGTTGAAATGAATTGATTCCGAGTTGGTGTTAATATTGAAATTATTTCCTATCCGAGAAATATAGTCCTTGAAATTAAAAAAGTTTGAACGATTAAGTTCTTCAACTTTGAAGAACGGAGCTTTCTTTTTAGAATCCCTAATGATTTGTACGTATTGATACGCAGTATAAATAGGTGATTACTTTAGAGACAACTTTATTTGTTTTTCAATGACCGAATGAACGGAGTCACCCTCGTTTTGCGTATGTCCCCGAATCAAAAATTTGTGTGTGATTGTTTTCAAATTTGGAAATACTTTTAGAGCGTACCGATATAAGCCGATAATGAATTTATTTTTGTTTTGCCCTCCACAGTTGTCGGAATAGAATATTATTTCGAAGTCGTTCGTTCTCTCCTCGGACTTCTTCTGTATGAATTTGAAAAGACAAGAAGCTATTTCGTTTGGTCCTCTATGTGCTTCACCTTCGTGCCATAAATAGCAAATGGCTTCCATACTTTGTATTTCACAAACTGTGAAATTATAATTTGCTACTTTACTAATATAATAAAAGACGGAAACGTCACCTTGATGAACAGTGAGAACTGCTTGAAGATCGTAGACAGCACAGACCAGTTCAATTGATGAACGTTTTTTGTCAACTTCTTTTTCTTTACGTGCAAGATGTTTTTCTTCTAAATGCTTTAAAAATGGCTTATTATCATTGTTTTTATTTGACTCACATTCCTCACACTGGTCTTTTTTGGGTGTAAAGAAGGAAATATTGAACTGCGTGTTAAAAATATATCTATACATGGATTCTTTAACAAAGGATTTATTATTGGCTTCAGACAGTGCTTTATAGTCTCTATATAGCTGTATTAGTGTTTTTCCACCTTCTATAAACTCCCGGGTTGATTGTGCCCGAAGGTAATGACTTTCAATTCGCGGAATGGAGTTAATATGGTCCTTAACACTTTGAGTTAGACTGTCTTCGAGTACACCTTTGCCAACTTTCCTTCCCCTATGATCACTATCAATAGCACCCGTTTCAGATTGCTTATCGAGTGTTGTCCGTATCATTCTAATAGTGATATCAAGAGTCGCCATAAAAAAATACTTACACACTCTTATGTTTTCAGAATCAACCCCACACTTGAGATAAAATGCTTGATTGTTTGACCTATTACAAGTTGCATCAGCCCTAACGTACCTGTACTTTGGTGTCACTGTCTTCATCGCTTTGATAATGTAGTGGCGCTGTTTTTCAATGTCTCCCATGCCCCAAAATTCTTCAAAAATTGTCTGTCTCTCTATTTCGGTAAATTTAGAATTGCAGTGAAGTCTACATTTGTCTTCACACGGTGGCTTCATTTTCCTTCTTGGAACGACTTTTTTTTTTCTTGTCGTATACTCCTGCTCAGAATTTCTTTTTTCTTTTCTGACATTTGCCTTTCACTGAAGGGGTTTGGGAATAACTTTTTTGGGCCTTTTGGGCTCTAAAATATTACAATTTAAATAATATGCAAATAAATACATTGATTGAGGAGGTTGGATAAATAAATAATAATATAATATAAAATTTAAACATTAATTATACCTTTATCATTTCTTGACTCAGTTTCGTTATTAGGACGAATTAGTAGGATGATCAGCTATTCTAATGTTTTTCTCGACATTTTAATCTCCGTTAGGCAACAAGTCTTTAGGTTGGTAATCAGGATCCGCATCCGTATCATCAAAGTCCGAATATTCATCCTCAACATCTGCTTCATTTTCAGGTATAGTAGGGGTCGTGTTTGTTTCAAGAAGATGGTTAAATATTTTTAAATTAAATTTTCTGAACTCATCGTTTGTGGTAAACCTCTCTATTTCCCGAGGAATAGCAAGCCAAATATCACCTTCTGTGTACTTGTAGTTGCAAGTTGTGGTATTAGAAATTTTGATAATTTTTTTAATCCTCTGTGACGACGTCATCATCTTTATTTGTTAGAAATTTACTAGAAAATCCAAGAAAAATATATTGGCATAAATCAAAATATTCTTACAAAGCAAAAGGCACAACTCAGAAAATTCTGGAGAACAAAAGGCATAAATCAAAAAAAAATTACCTGCATCAGCGATCAATCGGCACAACTCTAAAAATGCCACTGGACGAATGTCCTCCGGCATCGAACGCTTAGTTGGTACTGATTTAGTTGTAGTTGTGCCGATTGTATTATCACAAACTAAACATTTTAGAACATTACACTAACGACACTAACGCCATCCAGCAGTGAAAAAATAAGATAGAAAAAAATTGATGAGCGCAAATAGTAGATATCGTTCGCGCGGTTTCAGCTGTGGTGTCAACTCAAAATCGACATTTTTTGAGTTATGCCGTTATTATTCCAAGAATGCGATATGTCATCTACGATTTGCAACGAATTTATAGACATTCTTGCTACTACTCTACATTTAAAAATTGTTTCTGAAATAAAAGAATCAATATATTTCGGTATTAGTATTGATTCGACGCCCGACATAGCGCACATCGATTAGTTAACGATCATTATTCGTTACACCACCATTGGTCAAGGAAAAGTCGTAGAGAGATTTCTTGGCTTTGTTCCTATTGAACAGCATGATGGTAAATATATTTTTAATGTATTGATTAAATTGCTTAACGATAACAATATTGACATATCAAATTGCCGTTCTCAGTCTTACGACAATGCGAGTAATATGAGTGGAATATACTCAGGAGTTCAAGCTCTTTTTCGTGAAGTAAATAAATTGGCCGAGTGAGTTCCCTGTGCTGCACATAGTTTAATCTTGGTAGGATCTGTTACTGTTGAATGTTGTACTGTAGCCATTAAATTTTTTAGTGTGGTTCAGTCAATTTATACGTTTTTGGCAGCATCACCTCAAAAATGGTCTATAATGTTAAAAAATATGAAGGAGTCTGTTTTTGTAGTTAAAAGTCTGTCTGAAACAAGATGGTCCGCGCGTAGTGATGCAATGAAGGCATTATCACTTAAATATGAAGAAATCCGTCAGGCTTTGATTGATATTTCATTATCAGAAAAACAACCTCCTAATGCTATTAATGAAGCTAAGTCACTTCTTAAAAAACTCAATCGTCTTGAAACTGTTCTTTTGTCTAATATTTGGAATGACATTTTACAATAAATTAATATTGTAAACAAATCGTTACAAACACCCGGTATTGAGATATGTACTGTCGTTAACCTCTATAACAGTCTTATATTATGTTTTAAAAAAATGAGAAGCGCCAAAGAATTTGATTTATTTGAAGAAAAAGCAAAAAAAAGAGTTTCTGGTTTGTCTGATTATTCTGAAATAGAATCTAGAAAACGTAAACATAAAGTCTCGATAAATGATGGCAATACAATTGATGCTGTTGATCAAATGAGTGCTAGAGATAAATTCAAAACTCAAACATTTTATGTAATAATTGATAAATTGATTGTTGAAATGAAAAAACGAAAAAAAGCTTAGTTACCTCCTCACCATCAATGACCGATGTGACGTACATTTACCCCTCACCCCTATGACAGGTGTGACGTACATGTACCCCCACCCCCACCCTACACTTATTATTGTACGTGCGCCATATTATTGTACATGCGCCATATTAACACTTATGAATTATATATTAACATATTATATGAACCATATTATTATTGCACATGCATCATATTATTGTACTCGCTATATATTAACGTATATGAATCATATATTCGAGCAGCCAGTTACATTATATTATAATCAACAACGTGCAAATTATATCAAAGTATCGACATGCATCGGCATGCATCAACATGTCTATATGGTCTATTGTTATTTAACACTATTATCGTTCCTCCTACCCCTAATATTGATCCAATTCGACAGGCACTTGAATCTGCGAGAACCGACATTTATTTAGTCTGTCTCCAGTCTTACACACATATAATACTCCTCCGCGTTTTTCCGAGTGTTTATAATTTTTTCATCGTTTATTATTTTAATAACAAGTGATTTAATATGGCCGGTTCAATCGAAGACAACGCAGCGTTATATATGAAGAAGAAGACTTTTACTTATGTACCGCCATCACCTCCAGCCGAACTCATCGAATCCACCAGCTATACACTAGACTTCGCAGCCCGTAAGTTTATACATATCGGTATTGACCCGAGTGAAAAATTCAAAGTCGTTATTCATGTATTGTCTTCTTCGCGGCACGTACTTATTACACCAGACTTTATGAAAAAAATATTCTCGTATATGGGACATATCTTATCGTTCATATTAGACACACCACAAAAGTATAAGCGAGTATTGTTTTATGAAGATTATGAAATAAAACTATCGAGTATGGTGTATACTGGAGAAAATATGTTGGTAATCGAATCGAAAAACCGCGATGGATGTAGAGTACTACTGAATCGGACAGACCTTTTACGTCTTCAGTATCTTGAATGTTCAATTTTCGAGAGCATTGTGCGAAAAGAAGTATTAACCGCTCCGTTAGTTATAAAACAATATGAAGAGATTTGTGTGTACCTAGACAAAGTATGTACTCTATATAAAAATATGGACGAGATGAGTGATTTTCATTGAAGAACATACAAGACGATCTGGTCGTTAAGGCAATTCACCAATCAAATACAGATGTGCGCGGCTGGTTAACGAAATTTGGAATGATTACAACGACAAATCTTATGATGTAATAAATCCGTACTATGACCATTCTGTCTGGTAAATCTTCATGTGCAACTGCTGAGCGATTAACACTACTGTCTCTCAGCCTATTCAGCACAACGTCCCTGCTTCTTCATACTCTTTCGATTGAACAAATAATCACTGTTTCGACTGAACCTGTGGAACAGACTAAATATCATTACTGGTGCCACAATAATGGTGTTAAGAACGACTCTTGTCGTTCCGTACGTACCTATATTACGTTGATGATAAACAGCACTCATCTGGCAATGCGTAATATCTCTTAGTACATAGAATTCTCAGCGCATAATGCATCAATCTTCACGTCACATCATTGATATTAATC